TGGCCCTCGCCGCTGCCCGCACCTCCTGGGACGGGGTTTGCCCAAGGGTGGCCCGGGCGCTGCGGCGCGCAGCCTGCGCGGGGCTGGGGTTGTCTGGTCGTGAGCGGTGCAGGTAGAGCCACCCGGTGAGGAGAGCTCGGGGTTTGGGGTCTCTTGAGGCCAAATCTGTCAAGCTAGATGTGGATCAGCCCACCCTTCGTGGGCTGCTGGTCGGGACCAGAGGAGGGTGATGGGAAGCACCTCTGCAGTCGTGCTGGGAGAGGTGCCCCAGTGGTGGCCATTGCTGGGGCTGGATGGAGCCAGAGGGGGACGCGAAGCCCTGGTGCCTTGAGGTGACGACCAGCACCTTAGGGAGAGGAGCAGCCAGCTGTCTGTCGGAGTGAGGCCAGGGCATCCTATATTTTGATTCCCCCCACCAAAGGACAATGCGTTGAGTAGTCCACCGACTTGTTCAAGTACGTACGCACCTGCTGTGTGCGGCCTGCCTTCAGCCTTGGAAAAGATTTCACCTCCCCGGACAAGTAGAGGGGTCTGTAACTTTGAGATCCAGGGGCGTATCTAAGTATTTCAGTCTTAACCAGTGTTTGAGTCCCTCTTGCGCTTCACCGTTGTGTCTGTAGCTTGAAAATCATGGGATCTGTTTAAAATGATCAACGATGAGGTCTTCTTTGTTGCCCTGTTTTTTTGTTTTGTTTTGTTTTTAAACAGTGTATGCTCCAACATTATTCCCTTTTGCAGATCCTTGGAACACACTGTTTTTAACGGGAAAAATCAGAGACATGGCGTTCTTCAACTGGGTATTTGCCAAAAAGTTGTAAATGTGGAAGGCACTCTTCCTCTAAGGACTTCCCTCAGTGGATAAAGGATCAGCATCTATATTTCACTAAGCTGTTTTTGTGTCACTTAAGCATCATGAAGGGAGCCTAGACATCCCAGACCCTCTCCACTGGGAGACACTTGGTGTGATACAATCTGTAGGAGAGCTGTCTTTAGTTTCTGTCTCCTCATAGCCCTCAGGGGAATAGTTTTCAAAAAAGCACGTGAAAGGAAGAGTAGTGGGGGATTCTGGCTTGAACAGGGATCTGTTGAAAGCTAAAACTCACTGATCTAGTTTAGAATAGCTTTGAGGGAGCTCTGAACTCTTCCTGAGTGGAAATTCAGAAAATCAGAGCTGGTTCCCTAAGAGTTTCCACAGTGCAGTTTGCAGGAAGTGCTGGCACCAGGTATGTTCATACAGTTTTCCTTACAGATGCATCCGGTGTTTACAAAAGGAACACTATTACAGCCAAAGTTCCCATAAATCAGACTCTGTTACTTGTTTTCTGACAGAGACAAGAGGAGCTTCTTAATATGAATATTTATCCTATGTGTTTCATGTAATCTATTTCAGAAGTAGATGACAACCGTGTACAAACAGCAATACAAGGGGAATACTAGATCAGCAGTTCCCTTGCAGGCTAAAGACTTCCTGCATTTAGAAAGCACCCCTTGTTTGTTTCAGCTGATTTTATATATTTTTATATATACATATGTGTATATATATATTTTTAAAGAAGATTCTTCCCTTCATGTCTCTGAACAGAAACATCTGTGCTTGACAAAGAAAAGCCAGCATTACCCCATCATGTTCACTGAATGACGCACCAAACCCCAGCTGTCTGCACAGACCACAGAGTTGGTGGTGGTGGTTCAAGCCCAGAGTAGGCAAAATGTCTTGCCTTGTCCAGAAATACAGATGGCCCAGATTAAACAATAGTAGCTGAACAGTTTGTGTGGAAGAGGACAAATCCCTTTAATACAGTTATTTCTGAGAGGAAAGCATCTTTCCTTTTGAATTCCAACCAGTACCATTTCAAATGCCTGGATTTTCCCTTGCACTCTGAACAGATGGCTTTTCCTCTTGATTTCCACACTGTTGGCCTGGAAAAGCACTGGCAGACTTGACGATGCCTTGGGCCTAGGAAGGAGGACTCCGTGTCCGGTTCTGATAGCCTCACGTGTCCCCTCTGAGTCAGCGTATCTGACCAGATAGTGTGCAGAAGAGCCACAATGGCTGCTCCTCCTTTGCTGCTCAATTCTTTCTTTCATGCCTCGCATCAGTGCTGGTTGTCTGGGAGCCCGGAGACACACTCGCATTGTTCATGGCCACCAGGAGCTTCAGGGCAGCAGCCTGCAACACATCCTCCCTGATTGCCTTCCCCATGGTCAACAACCGCTGCAGTGTCTGCAGTGAACTCTGCACACGGATATCCTGTAGCCTCAGGAAGAGATCCTGGAGGTCACTGGTGGGCAGCTGTTCTCGTTGCTGGCCACTAACCGTCACCTCTGGGATGTATGTATCAGAAGGATTTAGTTGCATGTTCCTTGACTGCGGTGAACCCTCAGGTAAGGAGGTGGAGATCACAGCTGCTTCCGTGTCAGGGCTGGAGTGGGCTGGCTGGGCAGCTGTGGGAAACGCAGGGAAAACAGGCTGGGGACTGGGGACCGTTGCGGACAATGCAGCATAATCATCTGTGGTCTGATCGTTGAAGGCTTGTGAGCTTCCCAGCTTGGCTTTACTCGCTCCTTGGCATGTGGTCCTCTGTGGAGGAGAAAACATACGTCTGTAAGAGGCAGCAACACAGAGAGCGGGCCCCCAGCCATCCCTCTGTTCTGTGGGATTAGTGCTCACTGCGCTAGCCTGTCTTTCCCATTCCCTAAAAAGTCGGCTTCCTCACAAGCCGGGGAGAGGAAAAGAAACCTTCATCTCCTTCCCTTGTCATATCTCCTCATAAGCCTTCTTTTGCGACTCCTAGTTGTGTTTCTCTTTACTCTCCTTCTCTTTTAGCCTGTATGAGTGACCTTTTCTCCTGCAGTAGCCTAGATTGTCTCACCGTGCTTGGGAATGACAGCTGGAGATAGGGACTGATGTCGTCTTCAGAGGTTCATTTTCTTCAAGAGTTCTTTCCTCAAAGTCTCCTTTTTGGCAAGTGGCTGCAGATCCCACCTGTAAACTAGTCAGCTTGGTGGAAGGCTGGGCTACCCATGGCTCTCTTCCAGCTTCCCTCTCTTTTCAGCCTTGTGTTTTCCCAATTCCTGATTCTCACGGCTCTCCCTTTTGCCTGATCTTTGCTCAAGGCACACTGCGGTCTTCAGAAAATAGTTAAATAACTCACCTTTATGAAATACCTTTTCCTAGTACAGCGATAAAAAGAAAAGGCACAGAAGTCTGGGAAGAAAGGAATTCCTGGCAGTTCTGAGCAAATGGGCCCTAGAAAGAGGCAAATAATGAAACAGACTCAGCGATAAACTTCAATACAGCCAGTTGCTTCCCACCAGCCCTCAGCACTATGGAATGATCCAAATCCCTCTGTGAAAGCCCTGTGGCCTTCAGGTGCCTCCCTGAACCTGAATGAAAAACTCCACCACTTTGTGGTCATCTCCATGAGCTTTGGTGAGAGGAGGCTGGCCCACACACGTGGCTGCTGTTGGAGAGCGGCTGTAAGAGAGGACGCTCATGAGCGGATATCTTCCCCTCAGCCTAGGATTGCTTTCTGTCCCTCTCCCCCACCAGCTCCCGACTCTCCTTCTCCTCTGATCGATCAAGTCTAACGCTGGCTGCGCAAGACTCTCACCCGTCTGCCTGCCCACAGGAGTTATAGTCAGCTTTACCCTCAGGGATGACTCCGTGGTTTTCATACTCATCCAGTCTCCGGACTAGAGGATTTTGGCAGCCGTACAGCGCGCGAATGAGGCAGGCAGTGCTGGCACGGTGGGCAGCCCGAAGGGGCCTGAAGAACTGGCGATACTCATGATCAGAGAGTGGCGTTCCCTGTTGCTGCGCCTTTCCACCCTGAGGGCTGCCTGTGCAGCCCCAACCTGAGAGCACTGCTGAAAAATAAAATGCAGGCAGGTAGAGGGGGAGGAAACGCTAACCATGATACACTCAGAAGAGCTGGAAGGCTCAACTCAAATCTATAATCCCTTCTCTTGGATGCAGGGCCCCCAGCGTTGGAAGTGCAGGGACCGGGGTCTAAAACTGAGGGTGACACTGTCTCCTCCTCTACCTCTGTCAAAGGGTGTAGTGTTTTCGGGCCATGACCAGAACTCTGGTGATTGAAGTGTTCAGCTACAAGAAGGGTCTTGCATGGCATGGGTGGAACTGGTGATACAGCTCTGCTGTGGGGGCTGGAGAGAGGAGTCGGTTTCCTTTCAAGAATTTTGTCTCTGCAAGTTCTCTTCCTCTGGTAAGTACATCCAGAACCCTTGAATTAATGGAGAACGCCCCGATGGGCATGTGTATGCCCTTCCAGTGGTCCAAGCATTCATTGAACCCATATGCAAAACTTATTGCAGCTTCTTGCTTGTAAAGAACATTATAAAAGCTTGCAAAATCAAACATTTGGAGGTGAGAGGTGCCCAAATAAGTTTCATATGCAATCTTCATTTCATCTGCTTGTGCATATGCATTTTACACGTTCTTTAAGTACACAACAACCTACTGTTCTTTCCATCAGACTTCCCATTCCTTCAGTTAGAGACTGGACCTGCCCTGTCAGGAATTCAGAGTTTTTCAGGCTAGGCAGTTATCTTCAGGATAGCTGCATCATTTTCCACAGCTGGAAGGTGTATGGAAAAGTGAGGCAGGAAGATGCTGGAAGAGGAAGGGTAGTCTTATGAATGTTCTTCCAAGAAGTAGATTTTATTTCTGCCTTCACTGCCAGGCAAGCAATTTAACCAAGTTTCTCAGAGTGTTATTAATAGCATTTTCCTTACCTTGTGGGTTGCCATTTATAGGAAGACCAAGCTCTTGCACTTTTGGAGTCTGTATATGCTATATTTTGAACAGCAAGTAAGTTGCTACATTAGCATATGTACTTGGAGAAGAAAGGGCTGAGATATCTCAAACTGAGATTTTAAAAGCAGTGGATAGCTGTGAAGCAATAAATGCAGAGTATGTGAAAAAGTTCATGAGGCTATGAGTCATTCTGTCTAGGCCAGAGTTGGAATGCGATCAGTAAATAAATCATAGGATCAAACACTGGACACTAAGTGTGACATTAAATACTGAATAGCTGCTTATTAAAAAGGCATTATCCATCCTGGGACTGAAGAAGCCAAGCCTTGTGAAAAAAGTGAAGCCATATAGTTAAAGAACTATGTTGCCATGTCTATACACAGGGGAACAAATATGAAGTTATAAAAGTAACTGTCATTTAGGCACGCTCTAGGCATTCTCTTTGACTTTGCCACCTCCACAGTAGTCTTTTTAACCTAAGAAGTTTTTTTTAACTTAAAAACTCCTGAACTTAAAATTTCCCCATGGCCTCTGTCTTACTAACATCTGTGTGTCGGCAGATGCAGCAGGATGAAAACCAAAGCAAGTAACTTTACCTGTTGAAAGATGAACCGAGGTTACAGAGCACTCTGTGAGGCAGTATTAGATGAGGATGCAACACTTGGCCAAGTAACATATAACATTGCTGAAAGCAGAAGAATGATGAGACCTGGAAGTATGGGACCCCTCTGCAGTCTTTAGGTAGGAGGTGGCCTGATAAGGTAGACCTTTCCAGCCATTTCTCCCAGCTCTAACACTTTCTGTTCATCTCTAACCAAGGTCCTCTCTCGAATTTCCTTCTTCTCCTACCTAGCCTCTTCCTTCTTCCTCTTGTCCCTTCATCTAGCTAGTCCTTCCCCTCCCTTCCCCCTTTTCCCTTCCCAGCTTGTGGTTCAGATCCAAATCTCTGCCTCCGCACTTACTTCTGGTTTCTGAGTCCAGCTGTCTCAGTCCTTGTCTCAAGTCTTTGCTGAACCAGCCTCTGCCTTTCTCATTCTATTGTCCTCTGCCCAGTTACTTCCAGTTCTGAGCCTTCCTCATTTTCTCATTCAGTGGTTCTCCTCACTTTAGCCAGTTTTCTCCCAGGCTGCTGGTCCTTGCTATATCTCTCTCCATTTTGCCAGCTGTCTCCTTCAAACACCGGCTACTAATCCTTGTATTCTGCCCTGTCTCTGTACCGGGAACTGATCACACTATTGTACCTTTTTCCCATCTGCAGGCTTCCTGTTCCTTTTCTGCAGCTATCCTAGCGGGTCGGCCTTCCACTTCAGCCTTTTCTGTTTTCCTTTCCTCTTGTGCTGCCTCTGTGGAAGCACAAAAGCTCAGGAACCAGAAGAGCAACGTACATTTTACGTTGCTGCTCTCTTAGAAATGATTGAATTGATTAGGGGAGGGGGAAAAAAAAAGTCCAGAAAAGTTTGGTTTGGTTCATGCCTTTGGTATGTAAAATATCAGCACCAATGGTTAAAGACTGGCAAAATTATAAGCATCCAAAATCTTTGTAGTTGAGGATTTGAGGCAACTGATGATACCTGGGGCTGTGAGGCCTCTTTATATAGTTCGTCATCCTCGGAGTTTGCTGACGAAGGATGTTGTCCTCATCAAATGGTCTACCTGTAGCCCACTTCCAGCACTTAGCCCTGCTGCCAGGGCTAAGTTCATGTATATTCTTAACTAGCGTTTCTCTTTGATGTTGTTTTTGCTTTCATTAAAGTGTGGAAATTGGAGACAGCGGCTTTGTGTCTGCTGAGCAGTTCAAAGGTGTGTCACCCACCCGTAAGGAAGTAACTAACTTAAACTATCTGGAGGACTGCAGGCAGAGGGGTGGTGCTCTGCACAACTAGTGCTAAGCTGTGAGGGCGGTGGATGCATTTGCTACTTACCAGAGAAAGTCAGGAGAGCTTGTGTGGCTGACATCGGCACCTTGCTGCCGTACGTGTGGTACCTGGCAGAGCCCGAAGGCCAAGCTGTTAGAGATTTCACTGCTTTTCTTTTGCCTGTTCACCTCCTCTTGTCTCTTCCTTCAGCAGCCATGTGGGCCCACAGGGAGCTGGCAGGAGAAGGTGGGGAGAAGCAGTGGGGGGAGAAGGTGGCCCAGAGAGCTGTGTGTGACATCACAAGCCCTCTGGGCTTGTCACCAGGTGTCCCCTCCCGTCCAGGATTCCTCGGCTCCTCTTCGCGTTATCTTTGCAGTCCAATTGCAGGGGCAGCGTTTGCTGGCAGAAACTTTCAGGAGTCCAGGAGTTGGCTCATGAAGTCCAGCAGATCTGGGTAGGCATGTGTAAGAAAACTGGATTCATCATTGGGGACCTGACTATAGGGTGTGCCCCAGCGGGAACACCTTGCTCGGATTGGTCTAGATGCAGCCTTTTTCCACTTTGCAGACTCGCTGGCTCTTCTGTGCAGATGCAGCAGCCGGCAGAGGTCTGCGGAGCTGCTGAGTCCTTGCTGGCTGGCAGAGCCGTTGCTTCCTGCAGAGGTCAGGAGAGCGCTCCGGCTGTAGTCGGGATCTGCTCTGCTAGTGAGCCAAGTGCCAGGATGCGGGGACAGAGACTGAGGATGCTAGGGAGGGACAGCTGGGAGCATGTGAGTACAGCCAGACCTGGCATGAGAAGAGAGTTTGTAGTAAGGGGAAATGGGAAGGAAGAGGCACCCTGCCTGCTTCTGCTGCAGTCTGACCATTCGCAGTCGTTTCCTATCAGTGCTGAAAGGAGCTTGCCTGCAGTTTTATCTGGAGGCCTGACTCCCTAAAAAGCAAGGTAAGGAACCTTTACTGGGGGCCAAATATGAACTCTCTTTGGTCCTTGGAGGGCTACCGTTCTCCTGTGTAACCTCTGGCAACACTGGCTGGTGACAGAAGGGGCCAGGTTCAGTTTTCTTAGGCATTTTATTGTTAATCATTTTCGCTGAAAAAATATCATCTTAGTCCCCCTGTCTAGGGAACTAAATAACGCTCCCCGGATGTTCAAGAAAAGCAGTACTTCCCCACGCTCCAGTCAAATACTGAGGCTTCAAAGAGGCAGAAACTTTACATGAAGGGGGGAGAAAAAGTAACATATGCACCTGGGTAGCCCAATTAAGGCATAGCAGGGAAGAAAACAGCTACTGAGTATATGAGCCTGAGTGTGGACACAATCAACCTCCTGCAGCAGTGAGGTCTGCTGATAAGTCATTACTGCCTCCTTCTCGCTGTGCTTGTCACACACAGTCTGGCCCAAACTCCGAGAAATCCTGATGGCAGCAGCTTCTATAGAGGATGTCTGCTTTCCCAGGTTTGACATCCCCTGCAGTTTATTTTCGTTGTGCTTCTTCTGCCTCACCAATGTTTGTGCTCTCAGTGGCTTCTCTGTCCTTGGCCAGCAGTGTCCTTCATTGGCAGTCCCTTGGGGGAGGCCTCTCTCCATCTGTCATCTCAGGAGCTTGGTGCGGCTCATCATCTTCCTGACACCAACAGGTCACCTCTCTCGTTCCTTATTTGACCTTGCTAGGACTGTTGTTTCATCAGCCAGGATGTTTCTTCAGGACTCAGCCTCATCAGCACATCTTTGCTCTGGAGGCTGGCATGTTGTCCCTATGTGGCTGTTCAGTAGTGTCTTAGGTTTCCCATCTTATTTACAGACAGATCTTTACTATACATCAAATAATGTGCTTTCTGCTGTATTCCACAATATTCCTGAGTCTGTATGTAGTAAGCAGTTTTCTGTATCTGCTTTCCCTCTTGTCTAGTTCTTGCTGTTTTTACAGCACCAGTTGTCGGTCAGCATTAAATGCCGGTCACACTAGGGCTGTGTGTGTTGACTGTGTGCTCAAAGCTGCCCTTGAAAGGCAACAGATAGGGACTGAATCAGAAGGATATTTTTGTCCTTCTAAAATCAGAAGGATAGTTTAGTAGGATCAGGCTTACCTGCTGAATAGTATTGTGTTGTAGAGTTGAAGGGGGCTGTGGGTGAAAGGAGACCTCAGCTTCCCTATCTCTTACCTGGGCAACAAGTCCCAGGGTCTGTATCCTGAGACTATAACCTCTGCCTGCTGTGAGGAGGGCTGCAAATCTCCTCTATCCAAGGGGTGATACCTACTGACTCCCTGGCTACCACCTCCCCTCATCAGTTCTGCGGAGAAGCAGGCAGGAGCAGGAAGGATGTGACTCTAGGCTGAAGTAGAGCAAACAAAATATCAGTTCTCTATCCCTTCAAGGGCCTTCTTTTCCCCCAGTAACAGTACATAGATCTGGAAATCCTTCCTCTGTCCTTGGAAGGGCCCAGGGACCCATGTTTATTGTGATACCCTCCTCAGAGCCTCACACAAATTTCATTACACCATCCCATAATAGGAACATAGGAATCATGTGGGCAAAATGATAATGACCAACAAGAGGGCGTTTTACATTGCTTTCCTGTAAGGCATCAGTGGGTATAGACAGGGCTTTTATCTTGCATGCAGACAATCCTGAGCAGTCTCTGTTTTAGCAAGCAACTTGGTGGTGCAAAAAATAGAGGGATACCATTTACTTAACATATTGCAAAGAGGAAGGATGCTTGGGTTGACTGAAAATTAGAAAAAGAGAGAACTTCTGTTTAGTTAGAGTCTCATTTTGAAAGGAAAGAATGTTAGTTTACTTTCCTTTCTCTTATGAACACGCTGTAATTAATAATTTTGCATATATTCAATTACCATGTTCCTGGTGGCATGGTGGGAATCCACATGACTAAAACGGCACAGTGCCATTGCACTATGCCATGCAGA